CAATAAACCGTGGTAACTAACGTGCATGTTTTTGTGTGACAGTCTAATGGAAAGTAGTGGCAGCTCCAAGATGGGGAAAATATGGATTCAGACACAGAGTTTACCTGTGAAACACTGTGAACCAAGTCAAGGACAATAGGTTTTTGGGGTTTGCCATGTGTCAAGTGGGAGACTGAGGGATGTGTTATGTATGTAGTGCTTGTTATGCTGACAGTTTGAGAGCTTTTAAACCTTGTTAACAACACAAAGATGGTAAAATTGCTATCCTCTTTGCTTTCTTAGGAAAGTTACATAGGGAAAAACAGGCAAAAAAAAAAAGTACTAAAAATGCATATGATGTAGATAAAAGAGGGTAAATGCTATGTAAGAACTCAGCAGTCAGCAGCCTTCAATGCTGTCCTCTCTGGCCAGCTCAAAAGTGCAGGCCCATATGCAGCTACAGAGATAGGTACTTAGTTCCTTTATCAGAATATTAGCACCTACTCTTTGCTGGATTGACAAAATTCTGTCTTGTACTGACTCGGGGAAAGGGAAATTGTATGCAGAGTGGGCTGAAAAGCAGGCTTTCTGGCTGACAGGTAACTGACATTTCAGTGTATCTTTGTTCTCTGATCAAAGTTTTTTTTAATCAGAAAATTTCTGACAAGCATCTCTTTGCTTGTCTTGCATTGCTTCACAAACATACAACAGTCCTGAACCTGAAGGCATAACGTCCAAAAAACAGCTATGAACATAATACGTATCTTGTTCACACAGTGCTTTTTATGTAGCTCATTATTCCTACATTTGGCTATGTGACATGGTAATGATTTTTGTTGTGTAGCATAAGAAATTTCAGTTGCTGATACTGTAGTCTCCAGAATAAGATGACGTTTCTCCTCCCTCACTCCCCCTTTTAAGGTCTGAATCATCGTCTAAAGGAATACACAACTTTTATCCTAGTGTTACTGGTCTGACTGCATTTGGCCAAGTAAGGCTCTCTTTTGAATGCTAATCTAAGCAATCTCTCATGCAACTAACAACTTCTGGCCTTATCTTCTCAAAAGCAACTTGTCATTAAAAATTAATTACTGGAAGTTCTTGATAGTTAGGAGTTGATTAGGGTTCAGTCAAACCAAATTCCCTGTAATGTTCCTTAGGGTAAAAGAAGTGCTAAATTTAATTACAACAATTGTTTTAATGCAGATCAGATGTATGAATTAATATGTGGAAGTAGTGGGATGTGAATAACAGTGCAAATGACTTATTTTAGATTAACTAAGTTTCCTAAATTTGGAGTATGTGGTGGTATGCTAGTTAATTGTGAGTGAATAAATTACTGTTAAATTAATAGGTAAATAGAAACCCATACAAGCACAGCATGTTTATGACTAGCTGACAGCTGCAGAATGAATGTATCTGTTTACATACATCAGCTAAATGATTTCCTTTAAGGAAACTTAATACTGACGCTGTTGTCTGTAAATCTGTTTTAGGAAGTGGTAAAGGAGATGAATCGCCTGGGTATGCTGATAGATTTATCTCATACTTCATATTCCACAGCAAAAGCTGCACTGAATATCTCAAAAGCACCAGTAATTTTCAGCCATTCCTCAGCATTTTCTATTTGTAATCACTCAAGAAATGTTCCTGATGATATCCTTCAGCAACTGGTGAGCGATACGGGTTTTGTTGTTTGTTTTTTTGGGGGGTGGGGGAGTGGGGGGGGCTTTTTGTTTTAATGGTAATGTTTGGCTAGTCTGAGGCAAACTTGTGCATTCAAGTCGTGGTGTTTACTTTTCACCTTCTCATCTGGATTTATAAGCAGATCCCTGAGCAGCATGTTACATGTTTGCTTCTGAGATATTTTATTTGGGTTGTGTTTTGTCTTTGGCTACAAAAATGAAGTGTTTGCAAATACCTTGAAATACTGGTTGAGTTTGTTTGACGTAGTCACTGGATTTCTGCTGATTCAGGCTACGTGAGAATATAATGAACCCAGGGTAAAGGACAGAGAGGCAAACCCTTGTGTTGCCATCTGAGCTTTGACTTAGTGTTGTTATGCTCACTGATGGATGGATATAGAAGGATCTATATGAGATGCCCGTGAGGTTTGCAGGACACATGAGTATCCACTCATCACCTGTCTCTCATATCTTTCAGAAAAAGAACAAAGGAATTATCATGGTGACTTTCAATGCAGATGTACTGGCCTGTGGCAGAAAAGTTGTTAATGTTTCTACCCTTGCAGGTTTGAAGTTAATATACTGTAGGTTTTCGTGGGTGGCTTCTATGAATTTCCTGGTATCTGCATCATTTTTTGAGATAGTATTAATTACACTGCTTGTTTATTGCCTTCCACAACTTACCACAGGTCTAGGTATTTTTGGAATTAATATTCATTAAACAAGAACAAGAGGTACAAGGTGTGTAGTTGGAGGACATGATGCTCCCAAATGGAGCCAAGAACCATTAATCCCAAAGTAGTTGCTACTTTCTGGAAAACATCTTAAACCTTTATAATTAAGAGTGGAAAACATACATATATAAATGGGTAACGAAAAATCTGTTGGTATGTGTGGCCTACTTGATGGGAATTAATGTGCTGTGATGATCATGTCTTTTCTCCTCATTTGCATCTCATCAGTGTAGCTGTTATTTTGAAGATTGCTGCCTGATGTGCTTAATAACAGATAACATCTATTTAAGCATCAGTAAATATCAAGAATATGTCAACTGCCTTATTAAATTTTAATCTGTATTATCAGGATGTCTTTTGACTTTTTTTAAAAGATTTGATTAAGAATCCATGATTAAGGAGAACAGTCGCCTAGTGCCAATATGTCTGAGCTGTATTATTTCTTCTTACTGGATGCTTAGATGTTGTTTTCTTTGATATTTTCTTTCAGACCATTTTGACCACATAAAAAAAATTGCAGGTTCAGAATCTATAGGAATTGGTGGTGACTACGATGGAGTGGAACGGTTAGTAAAATTGTACATACGTTGACATCTGCACCTTAAATTATGAAGGGTTTGATTCCTTTTGGGGAAGAAAGAAGGCAGACTAAGTTGTAGCAAGTTGTCTTGTGATGAGTACTAAAACAAGTTTTATGAAAGAGGAACACAATGAATTCCTTTTTAGAACTGTATGAAGCAGTGCCACAAATGTGGAAACAGATCCTAATGCCCTGTGAACTCTGCAGTTGCGTGTTCTAGGCAGTGGTTTGCACATAAAAAAAACAGTGATAGAGGGTGCTTTCCTCCAGAAGCCAAAGATGAATGACAGAAAAAATGGGTTAGCCCAGGGAGATGCTGCAAAACTCTTTCCTCTGCTGTTACTTTCTAGTGGTGAAAGCCCAAAGTGTTTTGGGGCTATGAAACCACTCCTGCTTTTGGGGCTTGGGAAGTGTTTGAGGAAAGCAGAGCATGGTGAACAGCCTATAACATAACCTCTCCTGCTTACTCCTGGGCTAGTGTTGTTACAGCACAGGAAATAAACGCAGATTGGGTGGCATTTGCTGGCATAACCGTAAATCTGTTTTTCCTCTTTATCTTTCTGTTGAATCTTCATTTCCTCCTTTTTTGGGGGGGGAGGGTCAGACACACTTGGGTAGGAAAGTCACACTCAGACTCACATCGGTAAAGTAGGACCACAAAAACAGTGTGTCAGCTTAGAATCATAGAATCGTCAAGGTTGGAAAAGACCCTTAAGATCGAGTCCAACCGTTAACCTAACACTGCCAAGTCCATCTATACCATGTCCTTGAGCACTGCATCTATCTGTTCTTTAAGTATCTCCAGGGATGGAGACTCAACCACTTCCCTGGGGAGCCTGTTCCAATGCTTGACCACCCTTTTGGTGAAGAAGTTTTTCCTAATATCTAACCTAAACTTCCCCTGGTGCAGCTTGAAGCCGTTTCCTCTTGTCCTATCGCTTGTTACTAGGGAGAAGAGGCCCACCCCCACCTCGCTACAACCTCCTTTCAGGTAGTTGTAGAGAGCAATAAGGTCTCCCCTCAGCCTCCTCTTCTCCAGGC